GAAGGTCCTGAGGGAGACGACAAAACTGAAATTCGAGTCAGAATTTTTGGGCGGCTTTTCCGTTTCATGCAAGCTAAAAGACAAAAAGAATTTACGTAAGCCTTATTAATGTCTGCCGGGTGTTTTTCCTTTTTATGTTTTTGTTTTTTTCCCAAAGGGTCCCAAAGAAATATAGTTAATTCGTGACTTTCCCAAGAACATCCAGTGGTAAATTAATTCATTGTAAAAATTAGCCTTTACTTTATAATTAATCAGAATTGAAATGAGCTTAACTAAACAGATCGTTAGCATTTCAGAATTGTTCCATGCTTCCTAAATTGACATTAAGAATATAGCTTGTATGGTCTTAAGAAATATCTGCTTTGCAAGAAAGCATAATAGTGCCCAGTCTCCTTTTGCACAAATTGTTCTTTTGTGTCGGGGATTTGGCAAAACCCGCTTCCCCTTGGTATACAGGACCCGCACACAGTCATACTAACAGTAGATACCAAGCATAAAACGATGAGGAGCGTAAACCGTATTGTGCGAGTGTGACTGGCCCCCTGCGTCAAATCCCGGCGTCAAATAATCCCTCAAAGTTAAAACACAAAAATTGTAAATATGAATTGTTGGCCCAAACTTCCCCCCCTGATGCCCAGTGCAGGTTTTTGTTAGAAGTCAAACAAATGCCACAGTGAGTAGTTTCATCTGAAGTGACTAACTACACACAAAGTATGAGGGAAGGTTTTGTTTGACCATTTCCAATTTTGCTCAATCCTTAGCGACATTCGTTCTTAAATAGTCCAGGGCCAAAGTGACATAAACACAACATATTTCATACGAGTTTTTTAAAAAGTAAACTTGATCCTGCGATCATTTGAAAACTAGCAACTTGTCAGCGGATAACTTCAAAAAATACTCGACCTCAATGGGTCGACACCTGAGCCTGCTATACGGCCAGGTGATACTGGTCAGTGGGTACCCTTTTTGACAGGGTAGGTACGTGGTGTAAGCATCATATAGTGGTTCCCCGTTAGTTAATATATGGCATAACTTTACATAGCCCTACATAACCATACTCAGCCCTACATAGCCATACATAGCCCTACATAGCCATACACATCCCTACATAGCCCTACATAGCCCTACATAGCCCTATAGAGCCATACATAGCCACACATAGCCCTACATAGCCCTACATGGCCCTACACAGCTATACATAGCCATACATAGCCCTACATAGCCATACATAGCTATACATAGCCCTACACAGCCCTACAAAGCCCTACAAAGCCCTACAAAGCCCTACAAAGCCCTACATAGCCCTACATAGCCCTACATAGCCCTACATAGCCCTACACAGCCCTAGGTAGCCATACATAGCCATACATAGCCCTACATAATCCTACATAGCCCTACACAGCCCTACATAGCCATACATAGCCCTACACAACCCTACATGGCCATACATAGCCATACATAGCCCTACGCGGCCCTACACAGCCTTACATAGCCCTAGATAGCCATACATAGCCCTACATAGCCCTACATAGCCCTACATAGCCATACATAGCCCAACGCAGCCCTACACAGCCCTACATAGCCGTACATGGCCATACATAGCCCTACATAGCCCTACATAGCTATACATAGCCCTACATAGCCATACACAGCCATGCATAGCCATACATAGCCATACATAGCCCTACATAGCCATACACAGCCATGCATAGCCATACATAGCCATACATAGCCCTACATAGCCCTACATAGCCCTACATAGCCCTACATAACCCTACATAGCCCTACATAGCCGTACATAGCCATACATAGCCCTACATAGCCATTTATAAAATAACTAAGATAGTATGCACGTTCTGATTGGGCGAGAGTAATGTTTGCATGAGAATATGTAAACATCGTTGTGGCGTCAAGATGTTTCGCTTTTCGCGCGGTGATCATGCAGGCACGAATTTTAAAAAGTTTTGGAGTTCAAAACTCGACAAGTTTACTTTCTTTACCCATTTTATTTGTCGGCTGAAACTTGGAAAATCCTTACAAAGAAGGTGTGTCAATTTCGCTTTGCTTAAGCTGACATTTTAAGCGAGAAAAATCCGTATTTTAGAAAGCATCTTTATGGAAAACGAAAACTGATTACACGTGCAACACTTCGTGGACAGGACTTTGCGACTGGTAAGAATTTATCTTTTAATCAGTGCCGTACAAAGAGTGTTGCGTTTTTTCTCGGGAAAGTTATTTTATAAAAGCAATGGAAAGCTTATTTCCTGTGTTTGCATAGCGTGGTATAAACACTCGAGGCGTTGGGAGAATTCTCAACAGTTATACAAACCCGAGACGAATCGTCTCGGGATTGATTAGCTGTCTCGAATTCTCCCAACCCCTGTCGTGTTTATATGGAACTATGCAAACAGAAAACGTTTTCTGTTGCTTAAAGTGCTACTACGACGAAAATTTTTGTTTTTGTTTCCGAGTTTTTTTAACATAAATCTTTTGTATATGTTCAAAATTATACAAATAGCGAAAAATTGGAACGATACTTGCGTACGGGGGCTGGAAATTTCCCACTGAAAAGTGCGTAAATACCGTCCGCCATTACAAAGTTCGCAAAGCAATAGCCCGCGAGATCTCCGCATAGCGGTCGTGCGTTTGACCATGTGATTTATGCACTGTGACGTAGAAACATCAACCAAAAGATTCGCATTTGGGAAAAGTTTGTGAGTTTAGAGCCTTTTAACAAGACGTTTAAGATGTCATCTCCGTCGGATTCCTCTTCCCGCACATCTGAAAGTGATCTAGAAAGTTTTACAGTTGACGAAGTGATGGGGGAATTGTCTGAATTTGCGCCGTACGACAACAGTTGCGAACCCCTTGCTACCGAGGAAGAAGCCGCGGACTATACAACGAAAGAGTTCATCGCGAAGAAGAAGAGGAACAACAGTTTCAACGAAGATATTCGGGAGAGGTGCCAGCGAATGAATGGTATGGTATTATCATGGAATGTAGATTTATATTTTTATTTTCCAATTTCAACATACCCGTCGTTAAATCGTGCGCGTGACGAACGCGACTGTGTGTTTGTTTAAGTTTACAATTTCGTTGCTATGTGATTAGCTGTAGTCCTGATTTGATGCGATAGTTTTATTGAAGAGGTCAGACAATTGATAATTTTATACACACGTATTTTTCTTGTGTTTGACGAATTTTTCACATTATTTTGCAGATGTTCGTGCTCGAACTGCTCTGTCAGCCTTGTTACAAAAGCGCAGGAGTGCATTTGCTGCAAAGAGATCGATCGCTGCGAAGAGGTCATGGAAGAAGCCATTGGAGACCGGACCATATGCATAACCCTCCATCCAGGGTTTGAAAGCGTCTGCTTAAACCGCCACGTATTAGAAGTGGCTGCACTGGGCCTAAAAACGCGAGCCGGAAAGTCGTACACAACTGTTCGTTGGCAAAGCAACAAAAGTGATAATGAGTAAGTTGGGGTATTGTTGACTTTGTATCGGAACGATCGAACCTTACATAGCATTGAATAATTGATACATCTAAGCTTATCGCCGTGGACTGATCTCATAGAATCACATTTTTTATTTTCTAAATGGCTTTATTGCCCCAACTGCTTATTTTTAAAAGGAGTATTTATTTGTCTCCATCCAATCCCTCCTTGAATTAACAGTGATCTCATTTCTCTAACTAGATTCCTGAGGTCTGTGGCCTATCGCCAATTTACAAGACTGCTGTGGAGTTATATTGGTAGTTCCAGGCGATACCCCTTGCCCTGTTGTGCCTATAATAAAATCAGGAAAAAATTTCCGAGTCAAAATGGCCATTATCGTGGATTCGGAGATGAAGAAAATGAATAATACATGCACTGTTTGTTCTTGAAGAGTGTCATATATGCCATTGGGGCCAAGAAGGACCTACAGTAGTTGCTTGAATACTTGTCCGTAAGCACTTAATTTTATGGGCCAAACTTCAGAATTCTCAGCCACTTACTCGCTTTTTGTTGAATGACAAACTTGCCCACAGTGTGAAGCCCTGTTCTTCTAGCATTCAGTTAAACTGAAGTTTAGTGGCTGGGAATTATGATGTTGCTCCAATTTTCATGTACACAAGTAATAAAAATTAAATCGAATTCAGCCTGAATTTAATCACAGTTTTAATGTATCGTTTCCTTCTTTTCACTCGGCTCACAGAGCACTGCAAAACTTAATAGCAGGTTACCTGCTGGAAACTTTCCTAGCAGGTCTGGTTGACTCTTCCAGACTTTTGTCTGGCTACAGTTTCTGCAGAAACTTTCTACAGTTAACAAGGTACCTGTCTGTGATACAGAAAGTTTGGGTTTTGAAAAGAAGCATAAGTGGCAGAACTGAAACAAAAGAAGAAGTTTGGAAAGGAAAACAATTCCCTTCGGTTCCTCTCGAATGTTTTTTTCTTGTAGATCCAACCTGTAAAAAACGATTGAAAGGAAATACTCATTTAATCATAGCATCTGAAATAATAAAATAACAATAAAAAAAATGATTATCATTTTTATTGTTTTTCTCAGGGTGTTGCCAGTTTTTCAACTTGTTGTAAACCTGGCTAATTGTGGGTTGGGATTTTATTCTCACATACATCCTGAAAAATGCTTTTTTATAATAATTCTGTTGATTGCACACATGACAACTTTGACCCCTTAAGCTATCTAGCCCACCCCAACGATGCATAATTTATTACAAGTGGTTGAGTGGACAAACCAAACATTTTTAGGCCTGGGACTCTCAGTCTATGGGCTGGCTATGCCTCTTCTTTTTTTTTTTTTTTTTTTTTTTTTTTTTTTTTTGCAATTCTTATCTGAGTAAATTAAAAAACAAATTTCATGTTCTCTTGTTTCTAAATAGATCCTCTCATAATGGAAGTTAGTTTTAGGCCTAAATCACTTCCCAGAGGATACTTAGAGCTAAGATGTTAAAATGCAATAAATTTTGCATCTTTGTACCTTGGGTTCTGATGAGTCTTCACCGAGTCATCATCTTCTTTAGTTTTTTATATGCATCTTCGATTTCTTCAGGACTCCATGTAGGGTCTTCATCACACTCAAACTTCTCATACGCGTCGTCCTGCATTTCCTGCTCATCTTCTGATTCATCCTCTAGCCCTAACTCTGTCTCATTTGTTACTGGCCATGGATCAGTTTGAATAGCTTAAACAAATGAAATTAAAAAAATTCTATCACCATTAAAATTTTAATTATCATTAAATAATCAAATATTGATAAAATGTAATAAAAATATAAAGATAGGAAGTTATGCCTATGTGACTCATCAACATCAATTATTGTTGACTCACTAGCATTCACCATCAGCAACTGCTTTGGCTCTTGTATGCTCTTAAAGGTTTCAACCCACTGATCTTGATTGGAGATTAAGTTGCTCTTCAGTCTTGTGACTTTGCCCCTTAACTGAGTCACCTCACTCCTCAGGGTTTTGCATGTTGTGCAATTCCCAGCATGTCCAGTTGGAGTATCCTACAAAAAACAAACTTTCAACATTAATACAGGCTGTAATAACAAGACTTTAGAATTTTTGTGTTTTAGTATTGTAAAATAACTGCACATGTAGTTTTCCATTGTTATGATAATACAAAGATGCAAATAAACATTAATTAGAGTTATGCGCCTACCACAGAAACCTGTTCAAGTTCAGGAATCGTTAATGATTCATCAATCTGCATAACTTCATCCATATCCTGCACTTTTGCGATTCCCTGAGCCTCCAGGATCTGCATGGTCTCAGTAACCTCATCAGTGCCTGAAATCCCATGGCTCTTGAGAGCTGTCTTATCACCAGGAGTACCTAGGACCTCTGAAGCCATCTCAGCATCAACACTTATCTCACCCGTCTCAGTCTCAGGGATGCAGCCCTCCTTTTCAGGATTTACCTCAAGCAAAGACCCCTGACTTGTATTCAGAACACTCTCGACTTCTGGAGACTCCTCAGGGTTGAGATTGGGAGCCCCCATAGTGTCAGCACTCTCCTCAGGTGCAGAACTTCCTTTCAAAGAGATCACCTCTTCTTCAGGATTGTCTTCTTCCTCTGTATCCTCATTAGTAGTTTGACCTGCCAGAATTTCATTTAGTAGCTAAAAATGAAAATAGGTACGACCATTTTTTATATCTCCCCTTCAAAACAAGTTTAATTTGAGCTTTATGTCGATGTTTTCAAAACTAGAAATGGAAGCAAGGTTTAACCACATCTTTGCCTTAAAATGCATGCATCATTTGCAGACACTGAAAATAGAATTAAAATACAAACGAAAAAAAAAAACCGCAAACAGTAACTGAACTTATAGAATGTAGAAATCAGACTGAGTCCATTTTTGGTCGTTTTAAAAGACTCGCGTGTAACTCTTAATTTGCTGTAAGATTTCTTGGAGGGAAGTTTGGAGTACTGTCAAATCTCAAAGTAACAGCAAGATAATCTCTCAAAAAATAGAGAGCCGGATTTCTATGTAGCTTCACTTTTTCTAAATTTTACGCTTGAGTGGAAAGATCTGGGAATTGGGAAATTGACTTCACGTCCACTCAGCGCAAATGCCCGTTTTACTATAACTATGAGAAGAAAGCAGAAAAGTATGAAAACACATGCAACAATATGGGAAGTCCAAATAGTCAGAGCATTCATTACACGAATATTGAACAACGATGCCAGAAAAAATCATGTCACAGGTAAATGGGGAAATAAATATAATGGTGATAAGCACAGCGCAAATACATTGTAATTTCACTCACCGATCGTCGACTCCGCTTTGATAGTGTTTGAGAGGATTTTTTCCAAATGGTTGGAAACGTCCCCTTCTTCAAATTCCTTTTCGTGGCTTTCATCGGAAAAGCAAGCGTAAAACAATCCCTTGTAAAATGCTCCGAGCATACAGCAAATTTTCCCACAGTGTTGAAATCCTTCCGATGAATGGACACGAACCTTTTCCACTTTAATCTAACGCTGCCCGAATAAGGAGAATTATGAATAGAAATCCCCAATTCATCGTTCTTTACGTTTCCACAGTCCTGAACAACACAACATCTACCAGGCATGCTTTCGCTTTAAGTCAAAAAAAGAAGAAAGAACCTCCAAAAGCTTCCAAAAATATCTCGTCCTGCATGCGAAATTAGCCACGTTTGTTTGCCTTGTTTTGTCGCGTTGATGTTTCTACGTCACATCTCGCCCCAACTCCTTCAAATACTACTCCCGGTCATTTTTTGAATCGAGTAATGGCGGCAAGACATTTACGAAAATTGCTGTGCAAATAAACACACTTCCCGATCATATTTGGACTCCAAACTTGGCACGGTAAGTCACTTTTACATACATTTTCGAAATATGTAATCAAAAACAAATTCCCAAATTTGATCGTAGTAGCACTTTAAATATAGATGTACATAGACATACATAGCGCTTTTCGCTAATAGTGGGCTGTAACATATAGCCCAGTAGTAGCGCAACCAATCAATGCAGCATTGATAATAGACCACTAGTTGCATTTTTCAAATAGCCCTATAATCCCTTCACAACCCTACATAACCATACATAGCGTTACATAGCTCTACACAACCCTACATAATACTACGCAACCCTACATAGCTATACATAGCCCTAAAATAGCGCTACATAGCCGTATAGAACTCTACGCAATCCCACATAGCCCTGCATACTCGGACATAGGGCTACATAGTCCTAAATAGCCCTGCGTTATCATAAGAGACTACATTACGAGGCTTGGACACCAGGAACACCAAAATTAGAAAAATTTTCATTCTCGCCGTTTTTTTCCCGCTCTGTTCTCTGGGCGTCGACAAAACCCGGAACATGGAACATTCCGGAACATTCCGGAACATGCCGGAACATGAAAAAATAAAAATAATTTTCATGAAAATAAAAAATAATAATAATAATAATAAAATAATTTTCATAAAAATTAATAATAACCTAAAATAACAAAAAACCGAAAGAGAAAGAAATAAACAAAAAGAAACTCGTATCATTTCCGGGTATGAGAAAACAATATTTTGTCGCAAATAATTTGTGGGGCGAGGGTCCATGGAAATGACAGTAATGAGTGAAGGTTTGCTTCTAAATTCAAAATATATGAAAATGGGTCGCAAGGAAGGGAGTTTCAAGCTTTTCTCACACAGCCACCCCTTGTAAATGTTTGCCATGCGGTTTAACGGTTATTCATTTACGGCTTTGCGACTGTAAGAAGAGCTTAGGGGCTCGTCGCTTTGGACTTTAGTAGATAAGATTCTCATTCGCCGAGAATCAGTTGCAGTGGCAGTGGTAGCGCAGCGGTAGTTTGTAACTGTTTTCAGTTAGCCTGAATTGTATCCGTCTCCTGAGTCGCAAGTGAAGTTTGTGACTAGATCAGATGGCTGAAATTCAAGCTAGATCACAGCCCCCTATTTTCCTCCGCCAAGTTGAAGATTGCGATCGCCGTTGTCACAGTGATTTGGGTATCCTCTGACGACTAAACTGGTGAGAGTGAAGTTGGTCTAATTCGAATGGTTTGCTAACGTGTGTGTGTGGAACTACAACTTTTATGGGAGGGGCTGTTGTGATTCCCGTGATCATGCAGATCCACACAGACTTCTTATACCCGTTTCAGACCCCAGAAAGGACACTGACTCGACGGAGCCAAATACTCCGAGATGATGATATATTTAGCAAGGTGAAACAAACAAACAAAACGGACGGCTCCTTTCCTTTCCAGTGACCTTTGACCCGGACACGTGACAAACGAATACTGTAATATTCAGTGAATTTTACTGAAAAATAGTGTTTTCAAAAATAACAAGTCGCATAAGCAAAATATAGGGGGGAACAGCGTTTCAGCACACAGAGTGGAAAAAAATGAAACGTCACAGGGGACGCCCAAATTAAATCACAGCGGCGATCGCCATCCTCGACCAGGCGGGAAAAAAGAGGGGACTGTAACCTAGCTTGAACTTCAGCCGCCTCCACGAGTCGCAAACTCCTCTTGCGACTCGAGGAGACATCTGAAATATCAGGCTGATTGTAAACAGTATAGAAACTACTACGAATGTGAGTATTGTCAACTAAAATCGAAAGACAGGAGCCCCTTAGGTATTCTTAATGTTGGCTTGACATGAGTCACTTAATTACCGACTTGGCTTGATATGACATACTGCACCGACACTTCAAACCATCGCAAAACCGTAAATGGTTAACCGCCAAATGATTAACTCATGGCAAACAATTACAAGAGGTAGCTGTGTGAGTAAAGCTTGAAAACCCCCCTCCTCGCGACTCATTTTAATATATTTAAATTTAGAAGCAAGCCTTCACTCATTACTGTCATTTGCATGGACCCTCACTCGCCCAACAAATCATTTACGACAAAATATTGTTTTCTCATACTCGGAGATGAGTTTATTTTTCTTAATCATTTCTTTATTTGTCGTTTTTTTTTTGGTTATTTTATGTTATTTTGTTATTATTAATTTTTACAAAAACTATGTTATTATTATCATTATTTTTAGTTAATTTTTTTTTCATGAAAATTACTTTTATTTTTTCATGTTCTGGGATGTTCCGGGATGTTCCGGAATGTTCCATGTTCCGGGTTTTATCGACGCCCCTGTTCCCTTCCCTACCATCTGAACTCAAGAATAATCGTGTGAGAAACAATGCCGCCCAAATTATATCATAGGGAAGGAAGTTAGCCGAAAACACTCATTTGGGGCACCTGATAAATAAAGCAAGTCCGGATTTGTTTTTCTGCCACCCCAAGTAGTAAAGTATGTGGTTCGACTGTCAAATGCGAATTTTATAAATAACTATCCACAACCTGTTTTCCATTTCAAAGAGTCACAAGTACGCTGTGTAAAAGTAATCGTAACCCAAACGTTACAGAGACGACCCGTGGCGGCACACGCCTCTAAATTCCGAGTTAATGGAAATACCCCCCACAGCCTCAGATATAGTAGCCTCCCCGCAAACGTTTTTAGGGGTTTGTCATGCGTTCCTGCCCGAGGAACGCGTGAAACTCTAAGGGATTTGAAAGAAAACTACAATTCAAATCTCCAAGTATATACTGAATTTCTTAATACCTGGAATCTGTCGGGGTATGTAGGGTTATGTACGAGAGAGGATGTCCTATCAATCTCAGAGAAAAAGTGGCTGCAATATTTCCAAACTCTTCATTCTAATGAATCTCTTAACCCAGCCCATTTTCGGATAAATTAGAAGTGAAATGGTAAAAGCTCTTTTAGAGTCTTGACACTTTGATGCCTGTATATGAAAAATTATTCAATTCCTTCCCTAGGTACCATGCCTCAGACCTAATGTGGTGGTCTTATTACTCTCATCTATAATTCGAGCGGGAGTAATAACCCGGCAATTTCCGACGTATATCTGTCTCCAGCTACCTGTGTTCGATATCTTAAACCAACGACTCCTCAAAAATGTCATGTCTTTAAATACGCGTAACAATTGAGTCTCAAGTCGGCTTTTCTTTTTTTAACAAATAACCGCACAGCAGAACACGTCTTTCCTTGACGTTCATAATAACCAGGAAAAGAATTATGCATGCTTTGTCTGCACTTCAAAAAACTTTTCACTAAATCACCCATGTAGAGCTGCCGCACATGTGTACGGTAATATAGGGTTATTTAAGGGTATATAAGGCTCTCTATAGGGTTATGTAGGGTTATTTAGGGCTATGTAGTGCTATGTAGGACTATGTAGAGTTAGGAATGGCTATGTAAGGCTGTGTACGCCTATGCAGGGCTATGTATGGCTATGTAGGGCTGTGTATGGCTGTGTATGGCTATGTAGGGCTATGTAGGGCTATGTATGGCTATGTATGGCTATGTAGGGCTATGTAGGGCTATGTATGGCTATGTAGGGCTATGTAGGGCTATGTATGGTTATGTATGCCTATGTATGGCTATGTATGGCTATGTGTGGCTATGTGAGGCTATGTATGACTATGTAGGGCTGTGTAGGGCTATGTAGGGTTGTGTATGGCAGTGTATGGCTATGTAGGTCTATGTAGGGCTATCTGTGGCTATGTATGGCTATGTAGGGCTGTGTAGGGCTATGTATGGCTATGTAGGGCTATGTAGGGCTATGTATGGTTATGTATGCCTATGTATGGCTATGTATGGCTATGTGTGGCTATGTATGGCTATGTATGACTATGTAGGGCTGTGTAGGGCTATGTAGGGTTGTGTATGGCAGTGTATGGCTATGTAGGTCTATGTAGGGCTATCTGTGGCTATGTATGGCTATGTAGGGCTGTGTAGGGCTGTGTATGGCTATGTATGGCTATGTATGCCTATGTATGGCTATGTATAGATATGTATGGCTATGTAGGGCTATGTAGGGCTCTGTAGGGCTATGTAGGGCTATGTATGGCTATGTAGGGCTGTGTATGGCTGTGTATGGCTATGTAGGGCTATGTAGGGCTATGTATGGCTATTTACGGCTATGTATAGATATGTATGGCTATGTAGGGCTATGTAGGGCTATGTATGGCTACGTAGGGCTGTGTATGGCTATGTAGGTCTATGTAGGGCTATGTATGGCTATGTGGGGCTATGTAGGGCTATGTATGGTTATGTATGCCTATGTATGGCTATATAGGGCTATGTATGGCTATGTAGGGCTATGTATAGCTGTCTATGGCTATGTAGGGCTATGTATGGCTATGTATGGCTATGTAGGGCTGTGTAGGGCTATGTATGGCTATGTAGGGCTATGTATGGTTATGTATCCCTATGTATGGCTATGTACGGCTATGTAGGGCTATGTATGGCTATGTAGGGCTGTGTAGGGCTATGTAGGTCTATGTAGGGCTATGCATGGCTATGTAGGGCTGTGTAGGGTTGTGTATGGCTATGTAGGGCTATGTATGCTTATGTATGCCTATGCATGGCTATGTATGGCTATGTAGGGCTATGTAGGGGTATGTATAGATATGTATGGCTATGTAGGGCTATGCAGGGCTATGTAGGGCTATGTAGGGCTATGTAAGGCTATGTATGGCTATGTATGGCTATGTAGGGCTATGTAGGGC